AAAATCCAATTTGCTAAGCACTGACAAGATTAGTGGAAAATTGTTTTGCATACAAAATTATTTAAAATATTATATAAAACTACCTTCAGCCTGTGGGTGTGAAATATTTATGAAACATAAACGAATTTCTTGTTTAGACTTGGTCCCGATCCCCAAAATATTTCATATGTACATGCAAAGATTTAAAATCCTGAAATCCAAAACACTTCCAGTCCCAAGAATTTCAGGTAAGGGATACTCCACCTAATACATAAGTTAATATGTTATATTATAAATTATATAATATGTTAACTTATATATTAACATCTTACACTTACCAAGTCTAGGGTATTCTTAACACACATACATATGTTGCAATAATCACATTAAGGATAAAAACAGAAAAAAAAAAAGCAAAGTGAAGGAAAACCTCAGCACGTGGATTCAATACTAGTATTGTTCTCTAACTTCTGGCTAAGATCAAGCACAGAAATTAAGGTGTCAGACTAGACTCACAATTTCTAAAATAGTATGTATTATACATAAATGTTTGTGTGTGTACTTCCTTGCTCTGCCATGTAAAGGAACTTGTGACATCCCAGAAGCAATGAGCATACCTACTTCTCAGAGCTTGGTTTCTAAACACCATTCTTTTTAAAGGAAAACCAGACTCCTTACAAAAATATCTGACTGCAGGGCTGAGGCAGGGAAGGTACAAGATGAGTCTAGAATGTTTTGTTTTTCTAGAAAGTAAGGAAGTACTCAGAAAAAAAGACTGAGGGCATTTGAAAAAGGACACAGGAACCATATCTGAAGAGGATCCCCACCCCACCTCACCCCACCCCCGCAAGCAATTCTCAGACAATTTTAACACCAACATGAACAAGTGCAGAAACAGATAATCCATTAGATGAAACAGAAATCTGAAGAGTGATTAACACAAAATATAGTGGAGTTATTAGAACAGCAATGACTTTCTAAAACATGTACACAGAATTTGTAAGTTAAATTAGTTCATACTAGGCAAAATTTTCAAAAGTATACTTTAAAAAAAATTGACAGTGTAATACTAGAAAATGAAAATTTTAAATAATCACTTAAAATACACATTTATGTACTAACTCTGGAAAGGCTTGTATTTCTAGACATTCTACAAAAGAAAATCTCAAAAATAAGTTGAGACAATAAACAAATTTATGGATACACTGTAGTTAGAACCCAACTTTATTGTTACAACCAATTTTTATTTACAGAATATAAACCTCTTCAAAAAGATACATTCCTTCATTTAATCAATGGTAAAGCCTTATTAAACAGAAATAAAGCCTAAACATCACTCATGTTTAAACAGAAAAACAGCTTCATTAAAAGTTCATGAACACGTAACGAAAATGTACTTTCACTTAGGCAGTTACATGAATGAGGCTGTTTTTAATGTTCGTTAGCAATGCCATTTTATCCACAGAACAAATTTCACTTAAATTAACACAGTGGTAAAAATTAAAATTTAAACATGAAAATATGCAACCAAAAAAATCCAGGAAGTATCTCCATTAGCAAACAGATGAACAAATTCTCAGACACTCAAGAGGCATTCTGAGGCATATCGAAACACCTACATCAAAAGTTGCATTCATTTGAGAGGTATCAATGCATTTTCAGTGCTGAGACTATTTGTAGCACTTACAGTATATACAAAGCAGCATTATACTACTATAGATTTCACATTTGATACACAAATTTAAGCTCTATGCCACAATCTTCCAATTCAACATACAGCTAACGCAATGACATTTATTCTTTTTTTTCCTTGCACATGAGATAATACCGTGCCTTCTTCCTTGGAATAACAGTATATTTTAAAAATTCAAATACTTCACGTCATGGAAGGTTGACCTAGCCGTGTAAAAGCTCCTAAATACAGTATAGTCGAAATGTTTCTTCTTTGCAGATTCCATAGGTTTACAGTTAGTTCAGTATAGATAAACACAGAAAATTAGGTCAGGTTATTCAACAGAAACAGTTTCAGCATGTTACTACCTGTACTGAAGTAGCAGCATAAGCACAACTAAAGCAGCAACACACACTCTCATCTCCTCCACTGCTTTTGGGGTCTTTTCCAGTCACAGGAGGTGGTAATATATGGACACCACTGGATTTCAATCTCTCTGAAAGCTCCTTATTAGGAGTTTTGAAATTTAACAAACGGAAAGCCTATGAATCCAATCTGCTTGTTTTCTTTTTTCACTATTCACTTACTGGCTGAAACAAAATATGTGGTATTTTCAATTCTGCATAAACATCTAGTGACTTACTGTTTAAAATAATTAATGGTATCCAAAATACCATTAGTAAGATAACCAAAAAACGAGATTAGGAATGTTTTAGAGAGCAATTTTTTCCTAAGTAAAATAGTTGTAGGATTCATAATGAGTACTGGTATAATAAGCATGTAAAATACATAAAAGAAAGAAAATTTCAGAGAGATGCCTACTAAAAATCTGACTTTGGCTGCCTCAAATCAAAAGAATTTATAGTGCTTATCAGCATCAATTTTTCTCCAATCCAAATAGTTCATATTTTCTTTTCATATTATATGATGACTCACAAGTAAAAATTTTCAGTGTAAAAACTGTCCAGGATAATCAAACCTAGCATTACAGATCTTACTGTTCAACATTTTCAAATACTCAAAGTAATACAAAATCCCCAAGTATTATCTTTTAAAGCAACACACAAACTAAGTTCCAAAAACAGGGAAAAATTGATTTGCAGTAAAAGTGATATACTTTTCTGTTTAAAAACATCAAACCCAAGTCCTGACACTGCAATCACACAAGGTGCCTCAATATTACCTGTACCTTCTTTTTAATCAAAACAGAGTGCCTTAATGTGTAACTGAATTTCTCAGTAAAAGTTCATTATGAAATTTATTTGACCAAAGAGGAAAAACCAGACCACATCCATTACAAAATAGAGATAAAGCGAAGTTTACCCCAAACGTGTCATTCTTTCCCCTCTGTGCACAACAGTCACTAGCTTTGCCTCTGTGTAAAGTGCTGCAAGCCACTGCCAATACACAACTCTGTGAGGGCCAGCCACTGCTGATGCTTGTACCCTGAATGACTAATTAATGTGAGAATGCAGCACAGAATGTTTAAAGGTAATTTAGAGCAGATCAAACTGACAGTATTTTTATTTATATTATGAAGCAATGAACTCATAATAAAATTATATAGCGGCTTCTGTGTAATGTGTTTGGGGAAACTTTTTCTTTAAGTATGGAAGCTTTAGTGACATTTCTATGAAGTTAAAATAGATACTTCAGCAAAAAATGGGAGTATTTGCCATTAAAAGATCACCATGTCTTGTCTTTTACTGAACGATGCTTGCTTAAACTAAGAGATGTCACACATACACATATATGTATATATATGAGATTTAGATTCACGCTAAATTTCAAACTTTTTCAGAGAAAATGCTAACAGCCCTGAAAACAGGAAAAGCTTTGCAATCATTAAATGATATTTTTACTTTCCTTTAGCTTCAAATCATGTTTCAAAGAATGAAGCTCTCTTAATATAACAATATATAAATTCACTGCTTCCAGGAATCTAACGTCACAAAAATAAATGGCAAACTAAGAGAGAAGTGTTATTAGGCACTGAGAGGCTAAATAAATAAGCACAACATTAACCAAAGCCAACAAACGCTACTTCCAGTTCCTGTTATCTCACTGTGCAGCCAGACTATTGGCTAGTCCCAGTCTAAAACCAATGAGCTGGATCATTTCCTGACAGAAAAACTTCTACAAAAGGAAGAGAATGCAAAACAATCTCATATGCAAGATATAAATCACACTGACTTACAAATTTTTATTTACACTGTTTTTATATACATTCCAGGCAGACCTAGTTGATAAGTTTTGTGCTCAATTATATGACTGACTTACTACCACATCTGTGATTTCCAGAAAATGGTGGTAGCAAGGGATCAGGAGAGAAAAAAGTCAAATATCATTGGTCAGGTAAGAGTACACAAGTGTGTAAGGGAAAGAGGACAGGGGGAATAATACGGAATTTTGCTTGTTAAAGCATCCAGGCCACTATGGTCTATTGACTAACACTGAACATACATGAATGCCACTTCTAACAACCATTTCATATCTACAAAATGAGCTTACTACCAGGTGATTAATTAGGTAAGGCATTCAAGTTCCTTAGCTTAACATAAAAAGGCAACTGATATCTTAGCAAGCCCGGGGAAAAATTTTAGAGTACTGTTGAGACTTATCCTCCTTTAAGAACCCCTTAAATGGTCAACATTAAAGGGAAGTAATTTTGAATCCTACTGCTAGTCTGTACCATGATCCCAACAACTTGTACAGAAGTAGGAGCATCTGAAATCTAAAATCCAAAATCTAGCCAAACGGTGGGAACAAACTTTGAATATCTGCACTTGTTCCCAAGACCCACTGCCTACTTACAGGTCAAAGTGAGAGCTTTTCCCAGGCTCTCTTCACTTCCACATGAATCTCCCCAAATATTCACAGCAGTGTCACAGTGAGTAGCTACGCATAGGCTACCAGGAATGGCTCAGTGGATCGCTATCTGGAAGAGTTTGAAGTAAGAATATGAAATAAGGTAGAAAAATGACCTCCTCTCCTCTTATAGTTCCAGAAGCTATATTCTCTTGTGCTTTAAAAGGCAGAAAGCAAAAGCTCAAGAGAATGACATATTCGCCACTCTGTGATAACACTCCAACCACAGATGAGCATTCCACCAAAAACAATTGTGTACGTTCACTTTATCACTGTAAAAAGCTATTAATTACTTAATTGGTTCCACTTAATCAACTAGGCAAAATTTTATTGATCTTACAGTAATATGGTTTATAAAAACAAAGTGAACATTTACAACATTGGGGAGGTAGAAACCAAATCTTGGTCTAACACTGTTGAAGACACAAACATATTTTAAAATTCTAAATATGTAACTAGAATTTACCATTTAAAATGGTCTTTAAGTGTTTCTACTTAATTAGCTTTAAATATCATGAGACAGTCCACATATTTTAAAGCACTTGTCTAGAGAATGTAAATCATTTACAATACATCAGACTCACCAGACAATTTCTCAGAGGATAAATTTGTAGTTGCAGATTTGAAATATGAATAAGCATTAAGCCAACTTTGTACATGAGCACTTCTGTGACCAAAGGACAAAGCTTGTCAGACTAATTTTCTAAGAAAAGTTAACCATAACTGCTCAACTCCACAGTAATGTTCAAAACCTGAAGCCTTTCCACCCCAAATTGACTTCCATATAACAGCTGCCTCTCTCTCATCCCTAAACATCCCTAAGTATAAAAAATATACTTAAACAAAAAGAAGATAAATGAAAACAGAAGCCCCTCATACTATGGGTGTTTCTGCTTAATTCACATTCTTACTTGTCAGACTTTAAGTGTACAAGATCAATGTCCTAATCCCTCCTTATCTGAGTCTTTTACTAAATGCCTCAACATATTACTCTGAAATTACATGTGCCAAGTAATCTTTTGCTATTACTCTAAAGACACAGAACCATAGTAAAACATAAAACTGAAATGTAAGGAATGAATATGAATAGATAAAAAAGAATTAATCTAAATGATATTTTTCTGATTTCCAAATATAATAAACTTTGCAGGTTTCTCAAAAATTAGCAATACCAGCTATTATTTAATAAACAAAAAAAAAACACAGTATTTCGATTAAGAAAAAATTTTTGGTTACAAACAATTTCGTAAGGTAAAAATTTAAAAACAGAAACTAGTACCTTAAATGACCATGTTTAGCACTTGAAAACACTATTTAATACAGATTTTGTTAATAGTAAGTAATTATACTTATTCCAGAATTATATGGTAAATATATTTGTATTTCCAAACTATGTAAAGAGACAAATTCTACATTGTATTCCCCCCAAAAGATATAATTTCCAGTATTCAATTCAAAAAGATGTACTACCCCAACAGAGACAGTGAATGCACCTCTCCCTCCTACACAGCTATTTTTATATGACATCCTAAATTATCTACACCAGTGACTGGCATTTTAAGAGTAAATGATTCATTTTACTTACAGAGAATCAAGATAAAAAAGTTACAGTGAACAACCAGAATTTTTTTTTCTAAAATTAACCTTATCAACAAAACTTCAAAAATTTTTCTCTAGAACATTCTCATTGCATACACTCAACAAACAGAATTATGTTAAATTTACAATAAATAATTCACATGTAACAGAGACTAAATTATCAAAGAAAGGCTTAAACTGACATCTTTATACCTTTGCAAATTTCTAATCCTCCACATACTGACAGCAGTAAGTATTTCTTGACATCATTCAGTCTATTTAAAAAATAGATTGCTTGTTTAGAGGCATAATTTGTAAAGCAAGATAACCAAATTAAATAGTAATTTTAACAAATATTGGCTTTTTGGAATTTAAGAAAAAACTCCACAAGCACTGCTCAACCACTTGGGAATAATCAAGTCTCTTCTTTACTCAGGCACTTTTAATGCAGTAACCTCGGGCTTCATTTTAAAGTACTGGTTAAAACGAACAATTGCATACCTGGTAAGAAAACAGATGACGGAATTAGAGTTGGAAATCCACTACTTTCTTTATTTGCACTCACCCTTCTAAACTGGTTTTTAAAAGTTTAGAAATTTCAGAGAACATATTTTTAGTTTATTGCACCATCTACTGGACACTTTTCTAATACTAAAGCACTTACAAGCAAATTTAATTAGAGGCCAATTATTAAATGTATGCAGTTTTGTAAGAACTGACTGAAAATAATATCTGCAATGTTCCCTATGAGTTCTAAATGTCAGTTCAAATAAAAGTAGAGAGAAATATAATGCATACAGCAAAATTACACTTACCCAAGGAAGTCAAATTCAATAGTGGAGTATCTGGCTTGAATCAAAGCCCACAATCCCCAAAAGAAATGCGAAGCCTTAAAAGAAAGGAAGAAAAAGAATTATGACAATTTTGTAAAACAAATATAAAACTGCTAATTCCATCTTCTTCATCAGCTCCATGCACAGTACTTTGTTTTCTTTCTTTCTTTGGTGCTAGGGCCCCGACATAGCTACATTCTCTAGCCCTAATACTTTCTTACCTTAAATATCTGAAACAGAAAATTCTGAAATGTATGTAGTATTACTGGACGGCTACAGAGCACACCTGTCCATACTAGAATAGGTTATGGTAAAGTATAATCTCTTATAAACTAAGGCCTAATTCCTGTAATCTGCTTTATATAAAACAGAGTTCAACATCTGCACTGATGGATGTTAGATAGGTGTCTTTTTTTTTGAAACAGGGTCCTGCTACAAAGCCTAGACTAGACATGAAATCATGACTTTCCTGCCTCAGCTTCCCAAATCCTGGGACTACAGGTTGTCCCACCATGCCTGACAGCTAAATATTTTTAATGACTGTAATTGCTAACAGCCTTTCCTATAACATATATATTATCAAAAGCCTTCTTGATATAAAAATATAAACAAAAGCGAAAGTGCAAACCTCAGAAAAAACAAATAGATTGAAAGTGAAGAATCCTGTAGGAGTGACAAACATCTGAAAACACTTTGATGGGCTCAATTCTATGTAACCAACGCAGATTTACAAACTGCCCGTGGACAATGAACTTAGGACTTAAAGAAATTACTATGTGAATGGCAGCTGTAAAATAACTGTGCGTAAAATTAGAAATAAGGGCAAAATAGTTTCTGCTGGGTATTGGGGGGGGGAGAGGGAGGGGGCGGAGTGGGTGGTAAGGGAGGGGGTGGGGGCAGGGGGGAGAAATGAACCAAGCCTTGTATGCACATATGAATAATAAAAGAAAAATGAAAAAAAAAAACAAAAGTGGGATGGGGGTGAGTGAGGAAATTAGAAGGTGAAAATCAGAGAAGACAAGGCAGCAGATTTATAGGATGAACAAGCCTAGAAGTCTAATGTACAGCATGAGAGTTACTGACAATAACAGTGTACTGTGTTGGGATACCTGCTAAATGAGGTCTCAGCAACTCATACCAGAAAACTAATACACGCACAAAAAAATGGGTAATTGAGGTGATGGGTAGGCTAAAGCCATTTTACTACCAATATGAGTCCCATAATATCATGTTGTATACCTTAAGTATACATAATAAATTTGATTTAAGAAAAATAAATAAATAACTGTGTGTACTTCAGTTAGACCTGATAATATTTTATTAAGATTTCACTTCCCAAGAAATACTAAATTAGAGAAAGATAACCTTAGAGATAGGGTTTTATAGGGATCTTAATATCAGACCACAAACTCTAAAGTTGATACAGGAAAGAGTAGGAAATACTCTGGAGTTAGTAGGTATAGGTAAGAACGTTCTTAACAGAACCCCAACAGCACAGAAACTAAGAGATAGCATAAATAAATGGGACCTCATAAAGCTAAAAAGCTTCTGTTCATCAAAAGAAATGATCTCTAAACTGAAGAGAACACCCACAGAGTGGGAGAAAATATTTGCCAGCTACACATCAGACAAAGGACTGATAACCAGAATATATAGGGAACTTAAAAAACTAAGTTCTCCCAAAATTAATGAACCAATAAAGAAATGGGCAAGTGAACTAAACAGAACTTTCTCAAAAGAAGAAATTGAAATGGCCAAAAAACACATGAAAAAGTGCTCACCATCTCTAGCAATAAAGGAAATACAAATTAAAACCACACTAAGATTCCACCTCACCCCTGTTAGAATAGCCATCATTAGCAACACCACCACCAACAGGTGTTGGCCAGGATGCGGGGGAAAAAGGAACCCTCTTACACTGTTGGTGGGAATGTAAACTAGTACAACCACTCTGGAAAAAAATTTGGAGGCTACTTAAAAAGCTAGACATCAATCTACCATTTGATCCAGCAATACCACTCTTGGGGATATACCCAAAAGACTGACACAGCTTACTCCAGAGGCACCTGCACACCCATGTTTATTGCAGCACTATTCACAGTAGGCAAGTTATGGAAACAGCCAAGATGCTCCACCACCGACGAATGGATTAAGAAAATGTGGTATCTATACACAATGGAATTTTATGCAGCCATGAAGAAGAACGAAATGCTATCATTCGCTGGTAAATGGATGGAATTGGAGAACATCATTCTGAGTGAGGTTAGCCTGGCCTAAAAGACCAAAAACCGTATGTTCTCCCTCATATGCGGACATTAGATCAAGGGCAAACACAAGGGGACTGGACTTTGAGCACATGATAAAAGCAAGAGCACACAAGGGAGGTGTGAGGATAAGTAAGACACCTAAAAAATTAGCTAGCATTTGTTGCCCTTAACGCAGAGAAACTAAAGCAGATACCTTAAAAGCAACTGAGGCCAATAGGAGAAGGGGACCAGGAACTAGAGAAAAGGTTAGATCAAAAAGAATTAACCTAGAAGGTAACACACATGCACAGGAAATCAATGCGAGTCAACTCCCTGTATAGCTATCCTTATATCAACCAGCAAAACCCCTTGTTCCTTCCTATTATTGCTTATACTCTCTCTTCAACAAAATTAGAAATAAGGGTATTGAGGGGTGGGGGGAGAGGGAGGGGGCAGAGTGGGTAGTAAGGGAGGAGTGGGGGCAGGGGGGAGAAATGACCTAAGCATTGTATGCACATATGAATAACAATATTAAAAAAAAAGAGATAGGGTTTTATAATTTCAGCGAAAGGCCTCTAAAGAAGAAAAAAATAAACACAAAAAAAAAAATCACAACAGTAGTGACCTTTGTATTTTTTTTTAAAAACCCTAATTCGGTGGGTGAAGCAACACAGTGTACCTGAAAGAATTCTTAATTTGTATTACAAGATATACAGGTTCATATCCTAGACCCAGTACTAACTCCCTTCACAGACTTTAACAAGTTACAAGTTTTTTTAGTGTTAGAACTATCCCTTATAAGCTATTAATAATATTAGCCATTTGGTATTCCATACAGGATTGTTTAAAGATTAATGGGAATAACACAATAAAAAATTAAAAATAACCTTTTAACTTAAAAATCTCCATTTTCTTTACTTTTGTCTTCCTCCAAAAATATCACTAACAGGATACATCATATATAGAAAACAATAAATACAGTGAACTGTAAACAGTTAAAAGTCGCATATACTTGAACATAATGACTTAAAACAAAAAAAATCTGGGCTGAAGCTGGGGCTGTGGCTCAGGGGGCAGAGCAACCCTAGCAAGTACTAAGCTGTAAGTTCAAACTCCAGTACTACCAAAAAAAAAAAAAGTTGGGCTCTGGCTAGGCATGGTGGTTCACACCTATAATGCGAGCACTTGGAAGAGGGAGGCAGGAGAACCTACCTGTCTGAGCTATATAGCAAGATCAAGGCCTGTGAGCTACATAGTTAGACCCTGTCTCAAAAAAAAAAAACAAGGGCTAGCCAGCACAGGTGGCTCACTCTATAATCCTAGCTTCTTGGGATGCTGAGATGAGGAGTATGGAAGTTCAAGACCAGCCTGGGCAAACAGTTCTCCAGACCCCATCTCCAAAAAAATAACCAGAGTAAAATGGACTGGAGGTGTGGTTCAAAGCAGTAGAGTGCCTACTTACAAGCACAAAGTCCTGAGCTCAAACTCCAGATCTACCAACAAATAAACAAACAAACAAACAAATAAATAAATAGGGGGTGCTGGGGGGATTAGGAGAGTCTGAGAATGTAGCTTAGTGGTACAGCACTTGCCTAGCACGCACAAGGCCCTGGTTTCAAAGTCCAGCACCACAAGGAGAAAAAAGAAAAGCTGGGCTCTGAAGTGTGGCTATGCACAACTTAATTAACCTCTGTGTGCCTTTGCCTTCTCACTTGTAAAACACATAAAGTAGCATTTTCATTTGGCATGTAGTAGTGCTTACATTTATTATTAGATGAAATTAGAATAAAAATGACAAAGTGTTTTTTAAATGTCTCAGGTATTGAGAAATTATTAGACAAATTTCTTTTCAAAGTCTAAACCAGTGACTCATAAAGCAGTCCATGAGCCCAAGGGAGGCTTCTAGTGTCCAAAACTGGTTTTCTTAATAATATTAAAATGCTGCTTACCTTTTAACTGTGTTAACATTTGCACCAATGGCTCACAAATAACAGTGAGGGAAATGGTAGGTAAGCTGCCGCTACTGTAACATAACCAACCTAACTCTTCATCAACACACTCACAGTAAGAGCAATGAAGTGCACATTTTGTACACAGTGTTCTAACACTTGTGGAGTGGAACCGGGAAGGACAGGTAACACATACCTACATATCCAAAATACAATGGCTGCCTCAGGAAAACCACTTATACATTGGAATTGTGAGTTGAATTGGCACAGATTTAATGGAAATAACATTTTTATTTAAAAAAAAAACCTAAGAACTAAAATTATCAGATCTTGGTATATGGCAGACATTTCTCAAATACAGAAAACAAAGTCGTCATTTTAACGCAAATAACTGATAGTATTTGTTGCCAACAATAAAACATGAGTTTACACGTTAAAATTGAAACTTGAAAAAAGTTGTATTTTATTGTGTGAGCCTAACAGCTTCTCGATGCAGTATGATAAGTTTTTGAGGACAATTGTAGTGACATCAATGTTTGTCATTTTTAAATATATAATGAGATGTGTCAATATTTGCTAGACCTATACAATTCAATTAATCAGTATTTTCCAAATCACTAATAATGTTAAAACTACAAAACTATGCACGGATAAAAGAGACCGTCCAAGCAAACCAACAAATTCTAAGGGACTAGAGTTTAAACAAATTATACTACATGTTGTGATCAGCACTAAACAGACTTGCCATTTGGACTGTAGGGGAAGCTAGCTATTCCTTATTATATTATAGATATTATATTATAGATATACAAGAAATTTGCCAAAGTGTAAAACAACGTTAATTCTAACCAATTGTTTTTTGTTCTAGAAAACTGTTTTCATTTTAAAAAACGGTATTTTGTCTTACCACATGATGAGTTTATTTTTTAAAAGATATATTTCATAAGTATGTTGAATTTAATTCCTCATATGGTAAACAGTGATAATCACTTCCTACTAAATTTGTTCTGTAGTGGAGAAAACTGAAAAATCAGGGGTCATCCTGCATTTAAAATAATATGAAGTGCATGGTGTGTGCCTGTAATCCAAGCACTAAGGAGACTGAAGAAGGAGAACTGGGAGTTCCAGACCAGCCTGGGCTACAGAGTAAGACACTGTCTATAGAAAAGAGCTTGGAAGTGCATTCTCCCTCAGGATTGAGTGAACTTCCCAGCCCCTTGGGAAGTACCCATCTTCCTTCCCCCGCAGGATAAGGAACATCTTATCAGATTCTAATGTGAGTAACTAACCCAAACTACTAACTTTTAAAACACAGCTAAAACTAAGAGTTTCATACTTGGAGAGCTTAGGCTGTGACAGGCCACACTAGGTATTGACTGCTGAACACAGAGCACAGGCTGCAATTGGCCTTGGAGTCCTGAAGCCTGGATACAGAGGCCAACACTCACACTGCCCTCTAGCACCAAGGGACCTTAGGTGGCATTGTGCATCTCCACTGTGCTGGTCAAACCACTTTCTTCTGAAAACCACTAGTAAAAGGGCATACCTCACTCTGACTAGACTTTACTTTCCACTGAAGGCTGTTTTCATCCTAACCTAGTGACTGGGCTTTAATCGTCTTGGAACTCATTCATTATGTACCTCGTCTGTCAAGTATATTCCCTGCAAGATTTGTTCACATTATTCTCCCATTCCTGAAGCACCATGAACCTAAGGGGTAAAAATTCTTTTTGTATGGTAATAAGCCATATGATTCTTGAAATCATCCTTTAATCATCGCCCTAAGTCACTATACAGAGCAGAACTGTATCACAAAAGGCAAGGAAAATTTTTAAAATCAATGATAAATGCTGTCTTTACACAGATCAAGTAAGGTAAGGACTAACAAGTTTAAATTGAATTTAGCAATTAGGTCATTATTAGTAAACCTTATCAGAACCGTGTTTTTTATCAGTGAGGGAAAAGGCTGATGACTAGAACAGTCTGAGGCATGCATGCAAGATGCTAAAGGAGAAAGAATAATGGTAAAAAAAAAAAAAAGAATAATGGTTTGTTTTTATTTCACTCTACATTTCTAATTATTCCCTCATTCAAACATTTGAGATGTGACATAGACATAAAAGGCTGTAAAGATCAAGTAAGCAAACTGGTAAGAGAGAAGTGGTAAACTGGCTGGTTAAACAGAAGTTACCAAAGCAATCGTGAAGAAGAACGGTATATCACAAGGAGAGTGGATAACCTCAGAGAGGACCAGTGAGCTATGTGTGTCCTGCTGTATTCTTTCTACTCTGAAGACAGCAACAGAGGCCCTGCAGCAATACAGTAACACTTCTCAAACAAAAAGGCAAGAAAAGCACACATTCAGACAAAAACTAGCTTAATAAATGAAGGTTTTCAAAGGTTTCTTGAAGAAGAACTGGAAGTTGATAAGAACCTCAAAGTATAATAAACACTATACAGTCTTATTCAAAAACTAACCATATGCAAATTCAGAGGACATACTAAATGAGGAATATTACTAAGAGTTTTAAAGTTTTATTTCTCTGTCAACTGTCCCTTAGTCATTTTCTATCAGATCTTCTACTAAACAAATAACATTTTATTAATGTATTTGCTGTAATTGGGTGTGGGGCTGCACACCTGTCATCCCAGCACTAGGAAGAGTGAGGCAAGAGAATCAGAAGTTTAAGGCCAGCCTGACCTACAGTTGAGACCTTTCCTCAAAACACAAAAACTAATTAAATGCATTTGCTACACATATGTATCATGAAGACATTCTTTTTTTTCTTAAGTCAGGTTAAAGAACTTTCCTACAATTCCACTCTGATAAGAACTTTAAATAAGTATGGGTGATAATTTTTAACAAAAATAAAAACAAATCCTACTCTGTACATCTTAACTGCCCTTCTAAATTCTAAGCATTTCTGAAGAAATATACTACCAGTTTGCTTCCCATCGACCTAATCTAGAATACCAATAAATACTTAACATCTGATTCATGAATATTTATAAACAACTTGACCAAACCAGAAGGAACTGTATTTTTTTTTAAAGGTAGCCCAGTCTGGCCTCAAACTCTTAATCCTCCTGTATCAGCTCCTGAGTGCTGGTATTACAGTAGTAGACCATGTGCAGCGCAACTGTGTTTTCTGAAGTGGTATGCACAGATACAAACAAAATAATCAAAGAAAGGTTAAACACCACAAAAAATTTGCAAGGAAATCCAAGTCAGTTTCTTAAAAGCAATCAGCTGTTGACTAAGAATTTATAAGCTATGTGGAAATTAATTCAATACCTTAGGAATGAAAAATCAAATGGATAGATGGGGAGAGGCAAATTAGAATAATATTCCTCTTGTTTATTGAAAAATTGCCTAAATTAGAGTATTACATTGACTCTGAAGCTCCTTAAATGACCTAATGAGAAAGAAAACAGTACATTCTCAACTTTAAGAACAAGCTTAAATAGAATAAGCAGAAACAGTCAGCAACTTCTGAGTAACTGGAGAGCAGATCACAACTGAACCAGCACCTCTCAATTGGAGGAGCAGCTTTCAGTGCTGCTCCCAAGACTATGGAACAGCAGACTTGTGGGCCACAACCTATTTGTAAAGACAACATAGTAAGTACTCCCCTTGTCAACTGCACAAAATGAGATTAAAACTTATAAAGAAGCAGTTAAAACAACTTTGACCTGGTATTCAATTTAATTGTTTAGCACCTTGGTCGCAAGCTGGTACATGATACTGTTCTCAGAAGATAATTAAATGAACTTACTAAAAATAAAAGCATAGAAAGAGAAGTGGGTCTTGAATACAGCATTAAAATGAGGAAAGCAGAAAATAACTGCTTATCAAAAAAAGGTCAAGAAGATAAAACACTGGGTTTAAATAACAAAAACAAAAAAGTACTGGTACTTCCGGTCTACTTTTATCATAACACTGAGATGCAATGATTAAATGCATTTTGGAAAACTTTTGTAACATAAAGTGATTTACTATTAACCTAACATTAACTAGAATTCATTCATAAAGCCAGAGTACCATCTGGCCAAGCACTGAACTAGGGGCAGGGGATATAGTAGCAAATAAAACAAAAAAATTGTTCTTAAAAGCAAGGTAAACTGTAAGAGTTCACACTTTTTTCCATCATTTTGAACAAAAATTAACTGAAAATAGAAAATTGTTTTATAAGATGATGAAACTTTAGAAGCATTTAAAATATCACACTTCAAACTTACCAATGCAAACTGATTGACTTGAATGAAAAGTATTTCTACCTCCTTTTCAGTAACGTCAGACCCAAAGCCCTTATATTCTTTGTAGGCTTCAAGGTAAGAACGCAGCCACTGGCCCTGTAGGTCTCTATCTGGATAGAGACTATAGTCTACATCACTTACACCTGTAGGGAAAAAAAAAACATACTGAAGAGTTTAACAATACACACTCTTCAACCACCTTAATAATCTCTACCACCAGCATTTTCTTTCATGGAAAAATAAAAGAACATTTCCATTCCTGGCTGTACTCTTAGATATGTAACTTAGCATTTACTAAAATAATAAACCAATCATCCTATACCCCAGCTTAAACTCTAAAGCACACTACTGTTAATCACTATAATTAATTTTCATTGCTTCCATTTTTCCTCAAAGGGTATAGTTTGAACCATCAGTATCAGGAGCCCAAAGTGTATTTTAATAAGCACTCCAGATTATTCTAAAGCCCGCTAACATTTGCAGTAATACTTCAATACCTGTCTGTGGTTGTAAAACTCATGGTAAGAAATACATTTTTTATTAAGACATTATATATACACCTGTTGCTAAATTTCACAAAACAATATTTACTCCAACTATATCATCTGGCTCTGATATTTTATATTTCTATTCTTGCCCACTGCTTGCTTTAAAAAAGAAAGGGTGGGGTCATTACCAGAAATGCGATTTGATGATGTGCAGGTTGAAAAATAATAAACTAGAAATAGTAGTTCCTACTATTTTGCCTGATCTTCAGAGTTTTCATAAACTATCTAAATCTACCCCCTCTAGTCTTGTAACTTTCTCTCCAAGAATTTTATATCCTACAAAAATAAGTAACTCCTCTTAAAGTTACTTTCTTCTCTCTAGAAATAACTAGAAATGTGTAAATCAAAACGTTTTCCTAACTTATTTCCCAGTCTGGTAACCTGAAGTATATTTTTTTTAAAATAATACATGAATAAGTAATGTATATAAATGCAAATCTAGCAATTAAATATTTCTACTTGGAATAAACCATTCAAGGAAATTTTCTAAACTTTAATTTTAGAACTTTCATGTTTCTAAATATAGAATTATTAAAATGAATTTTAAATTAATTCTACTTATATAAAAAATTATGTAGGTGATTATAGGTTAACACTTAGGACGAAAAATGTCCAACCTTTCAATAGTTATAACCAAATACAAAAACTAAAACATTTTGAGCTTTTTAGTTAAAAAGCATTGCAAAAGCTCAAGTTTACAACAAAACAATAATGACTTTTGTCCTGTGTTGTTTTGCTTTGTGGTACTGGGGATGGAGCCCAGGACTCTGCATATACTAGGCCTAGGCAGGTGCTCTACCACTAAGCTATACTATTAGCCTCAACAAAGGCTTTTACATGATTCAAAAAAAAAAAAAAAAAAAAAAAAATGGGTCCAAATGTTAGTTCTCTGTATTATACTATGGCCTTGGTAAATTACTTCCCTACTCTGTAAACTGGAGCATTGTGAACCAGAAAAAGAGACAGATGTTTAAGAAACACCTTGAACTATGCAAGGTCTCAAATTCAGTCACGATTATTGTTTTTCTACTATCCCTTATTCCATTATTTTCTGATGGCAACTAAGGAAAAAATTCTGGTAATCTCATTTCTCCAGAAATAAAGAAATGTTGCTTCTCCCCTATAAGTGGTCTTCTTAAAAACAGAAAAATTATTTTTAAAACCCTCCAAACGTATCTGAAATGAGATAAACTGAAATGTGTTAAATAAGAAGTCTTAGCTTTTACCTGCAAATTCATTGAAATGATTTCCAATATCATATGCCAGGTAGTTGTATCCAGAATATTCATAATCAATGAACTGTACATCACCTATGTGAGACACAAAAACAAAGATAGTAAGAAATCACATACAAGATCAAAAACCCCTATGCTATTTGTAATTAAATAGCTCCTCATATTTTGTCTCATTGTACGTGCTTGGTTACATGCACTTCTGAGACAATACAGGGTAAGGCTGTGAATTTTATGGCAATGAGCTTTACAAATTCAAATTATGTCTTGATCAACAGCTTCTAATAAACACTAATGTCCACTTTATTAAAGAAAATGAAAATAAAGTCACTTTAAGTTCTAACAAAAGCAAGATATGTTTTTCACCACATGAGGGCATCAGTAATTTAAAAATTCAAGTTTAGTTAGAAATAACTCTCTCTTGAAACTGTTAATAATACACCATTTTAACAAAAACTTAATCCATGATACTCTGACTATACACTGCCAAGTTTATCCTCATAAGAAATCAAATATAAACTCTCACGTACTTAAACTGTGTAAATCTTGTAGTGCAGATTAGTTTAACAATATCACTAATTTAAATACCACACTCCCTTGGAATGCTGCATAACTAGCAGCACATCTTGGCTACATCAGCCTTAAGGTGGTAGTTTTGAAAAGAGCAAAGACAAATTTCCTTTTGATGTTTGTAAATTTGAGAAATTTTTACTTCAGATGAATTAAGATTCCCATTCTCAATTTTGCTACATATATTATATATTCTTTATTAAAATTCTCCAAAGATAACCCTGTTCTCCCTGTAAAAGTGAAATACTGTTACTTAGGAACTTTTAATTTTTGAGTACTTATTTTGGAGGGATTTAATCAACATGATATAAGTTCTATATAGACAACAGAAAGAAAAACAAACAAACAGAAAGACTTAAGAGTTGCTTTAAAAAAAAATTAATGCGAGTCACTGTCTACACCAGGGATCACAAATCCACAGGCTTACAAGGCCATGAGTTAAAAATGGATAAATGAACAAGACTAAAAAATGTTTAACAACTGTGCAGTCCCTATCCTAAAAACATCAAGCTGAGATAAGAAAACATTCTTGGTCTATATACATTGGCATTTTCCAAAAAAAAAAAAAAAACAGTTTTTGCATGACAATGTCTTGATATACATTTGTATGCTTAATTTAGGGAAGTATGTTAATCATATTCAAACTTAAGAGAAAAAAAAATTTATGATAAAAATGTGGCAAATTAGGGTTTATATAAAAGCAAAATCTTTTTAAAAATATAACTGTATTTAGGATAATTCTAAACTTGTATAAATAACACAACTGGAAAAGAAACAAGGCCCTAGGTTTGATCTCCTGCAAAAAACAAAACCAGAAAAAGTAATCATGTGTAGAGTAAAATGAAGTGAAAACAATCAAAGTACATTCTAGTTATCAAAGCTGAGTGCATACTGTTTGCAGTTTGCCACAAGTTTGCATTCTCCGATTCCCAGAGCACTATTCCATGCACTCTACTACAGACTGGGCAAACAGAACATGTTTTATAATTTCTTTTCTAGGAATCACAGGAATGAGTGCATGAAGACAACCATCATGATAAAATTCATGCAGCAATGAAACCAAATAGAATGAAGCCATGAAAAAACATCTCATTTGCAAAACTACCAGGAAATTTAAAGAAAAAGATAGTACATTAGTCAATACAATGTGATCTGAATTATTAAAATATGCTTCATGAGGGGAAAAAAAGTTATATTGCATAAGGAGGAAAAAATGAATGCAAATGAACCAAAGCAAAATATTCCAGCTGATATTACAGGTGATAGACAAGTGACTTTTTTCTTTTATTTTCTTACTTTTAAAAATTACTTTTGAAGGAAAATATATTTTTAAGAAGCAGAGTGTAAGTTGGAGACTGAGTACAATCATGCAGGAGATGTGTATCCACAAGCCTTCAAAATGTCAAGATACAGGATTTATCAAGATTCACAACAGTTTTAATAAGCAATTTTTAAACTGCAGCTGTTGATGCTTTAGCTCTTTAAGCAGAAATTCTTGTAGAGCTCATATCAATTGTTACATGCCAATAAAAATCCACAGCCCAGTCCTGAAGCTTAATTTTGCCACATAAATAAAAGCTTCAACTTCAATTTTCAAAATTACATCTAGAATTTGACAAATATAGTTAAAATGGCAGGTAAAAACATACCTGCTTATAAATACAACTTAATTAAAACATAGGTCATTTAGACAAGTTAAAATCCTTTTCAGTATGAAAATTTTAGAAATGACTTTTTGTAGTAGCATTAATTCATTAAAACTAGCCTTTATTTTTAAATGCTATGTTGAGTTTATAAATAATGAAATTTACAAAATAAGAAAATGAAGCTAACAAGATACAGATGAGGCTGTTACCAGGCTCCGTGCATGTGAACAAGTGATGCGATAAACCTCCAGTCAGTGCGTTTAAGAAGCACGGGTGCGCCGCCACATGGCAGCAACAATGGCATACCTAATCTGTAGCAGATGAAGAAAATTTGGCAAACTCACATTTTACAAGACACAAAGCTTAAAAGGAAAGAAATTAAAAAAAAATCTGCATTAACTATTCTTTTTCAAATTATTACAAACAAAGTGGAACTCAACCTTAAATTTAAGATTCTGCAATAAGGTAAAATTGGAGATCTATACTGTCTTAATTAGGGTGCCAGAAAAATCAAATTACAGAATTAGAAAATGCTTTCCTGTCAACAGAAAACATACTTTTTCTTCTCCTATAATTTTAGATTTCTACTTCTAAACTTTCTCATTATATAGCGGAATGCTCATTTCACCTAGCTAGCTGATTTTTAATAGAGGTTTCCAGGGTAAAAGACAATGAGAATACACCCTAAAGTGTTACACAGAATTTTATGTGTATGTGAATTTTCAAAGGAGAGCGTTCTCAGTTTTCTAATTTAAGGGCTAACACTGACTTTCATCTTAATGTTAGCACAATGAAAAACACATAATAGGCAAAGCATAAAGATAAAACTGCAACTTGATATTTCAAAAGCTGTATTTTTCTTTTTAACGGTTTCTTTTATATCTGTTTTTTTAATCCAGAGTTTAAAATGTTGAAAACCCAATATACATACTAAAAATAGTTCCCCAAGTTTATAATAAAAAAAATAAAAATTACTATCTAACACTACACAATTACCAGGTCATGTTTGTTTGGACACCTTTATCTTGTTAAGGATGAAAGAATAAAAACGGAATAGTATAAGAGTCAGTACAAGATCTTGAAGATCTTTTTCAATTCATTCTATTTGTTCTGCTATGTCAGACGTGTGGAAAGAGATGGATGACACTACTGTCCTCTCTCTTACACAGAAAAAGACAAGGAGTACTGTGTCTGGGAAGCTGTGCGTTCACACTTCACACTGGTGTGCAGCAGTGCTCTGTTCACCTTCACCTCCACTGGGTCTCACGTAAGTACCCTCTTAGTGACCTAACTCCTCTATCATGACACACTGCCTTCTGAAGGGACGACAAAGTCCTTTCATTTTGCATCGTGCAATCCACAAAGTATTAAAATGCTAGTGGATAAATGAGGCTTTGCAGAGAATGCTCAGACACAGTAAGAATACGTCTTTAAGGTGGAAACACAAATTCACCATAAAATACAGAAGAAAAAAGTGCAGTATTTCTAACATTCTTATTCATGTATGTAACTGAAAACAGTAGGCTTGAATGCATGAATTTAAAAACCAAAAAACCTTAAACTACTAACTATTTTAGGTCATTCTTCCTTAATAGGTCACATTTTTAAATCATTTATATTGCTTATGGCCTGATTTAGGGATGTTTTATTTTCTGCTTACTAGTGACCCAGTATACAAATTAATCCAGTATTAAGATTATCCCTCATAAGAATATGGGAAACTTTCTGGAATAATGAGACTGTTCAGGAAAGTACAATCATCTACTAGAAATACCTATACCTTTATAAGTGTTTCAGTTAAAGCAGTGGTATGCTTAAGCTTTTTTGGTTGTTGTTTTGTAACAAGCAAGGTTTCATTGTGTTGCCCAGACTGGCCTTGAAATCGTGGGCCCAAGCTATCCTTCTGCCTCAGTTTCTCAAGTAGCTGGAACTACAGGTGTGCCTCATCACAAGTGTGTGCTTAAGATATATACATTACACTACAATGAAACACTGAACTCTAGCTGATGTCATGCATGCGGACATGAAGTTCACTGATATCTGCAACTCACTTTGAAAAATGTCTTTTTTAAATAATAAGATGGTACCTGCACTCATGCTATAATCCTAGCTACTTAGGTGGCTGAGATCAGGAGGATCATGATTCAAGGCCAGCTCTGGCAAATAGTTTGTGAGACCCCCATCTACAAAATAATCAGAGCATAATGGACTGGAGGTGTGGCTCAAGCACTAGAGCATCTGCTTTGCAATTGCGAAGTCCTGAGTTCAAAACCCAATCCCACAAAAAAAAAAACCAAAAAAACCAGTAAGATGAACTGATGGATGAACAGATGGAATGTAATAAAGAACAAACTTGTCAACAATTCTAGAATCTAGCAGGTACTTTGGCTGATCACTACAAATCTTAACTTTTCTTGTGTTTGAAAATTTCATAATAAAATGTTTGGGAAAAGAAAAATGTTATCAGTTACGTATATTCATTTATTAACAATACATATTTGTATTTGCAGGCATTTGTATCAAGTACTGTATATGTGGCTTTTATTCTACTGAGTATGGTGAGGATTCTAGCAGGTACAGCAATATATGTCTATGAATAATTTCTGTTCTACAAACATTTATATGACTATGTAGATTTTTCTAGTTGCTCCATCAATAATATACTTGTATTTGTCTATATATATACAATTATTTCTCAAACAAGGATAGTTTTACTGAGGAGGCCACACAGGTCTCAGCCTAGCATGAACGACCTATGAGATATTCGCAAACCTTCTAGCAGGAATGATCAGTGTTTATTTAAGTTTAATTTCAGTGGATGGAAAAAATTCTCCTAAGTTATTAAAACAGCAATGCTTTGCATAGTAAAAAGAGTGGATAAGATTTAAAGCCAATCAAGTGACTAAGAATGATGACTCACCCATTCTCTATTTATAGTGTATAAAACTCTAAAGAAAACCGTTTTAGTGTATAAGTCTTAAAAAAAAAAAAAAAAAAGCTTTTCTTTTCGTCCACTCATTTGTATGCCCTGAAAGGTATACATCAGCTTCTCACACTTTGCTGATAGAGAAAATAGACACTGACTGATGCTGCTAAAATGAGAAGTTATATATTAGATCTTTACATAAGCTTTTATGAAAATATGGGTGGGGAAAAAATGAAATAACCATGAAAAGTCATCAGGACAATAAACACTGTGACAAGAGCATCAGGACATGACACAGCAATCTCAAAAGCTTTAGCAATTAACTTCTGACATGTCCATAGTTAAATGATTAGTTGCAATTAAAATATTAGACTGGAAGTCAATAAACAATATTGCAATTTGTTCACTATGAACAATCAATTTAAAACATAACTCTTAAAGTCTTATCTTACAGTTCTGAAGCAAGAACCACTACTTTTGGTTTTCTTATTTGTTTCAAATTCTGTCTCATTTATTAAGTATTCTTTTCCTGCCCTTTTGGGATGTCATTTCACTGAAAGCAAGGACTAGACCACAATTTACCAACCACTTACTTACTGGCACTAACTTTTCAACAACCTTGATAACTATCACCAACTTCAGAAAGGAAGTTCAATCCTGTCCCATATCCTTCAGACCTGTCAACTGTCCTGGTGAGAACAAGGAGAAGCAGTGTTTTTTTTTCCCCTATGCTGACTAACTGTTCCTATTAACATTTGCATGTGAACACACCAACAAAATGCAGGTGCTCAGTCGTGTGTGTGCTGTGTGTGGATATGTATTTAAGTACTGATACATACATTCACTTTTTAAATTTTAAATTAATCACTCAACTTACAGTTAAGATAGAAACTAAAAGTTACATTTAAAGAACTTTTATGTGATATGTATGGAATCTCATATACATCATAATTCTACTAGTTATGGTAACCATCTTCCACTTTTTAATAATCAGATACATTTTGTAAAATACATGCTATAAATATGATACAGGGGTTAAAAACTATGTATATTCAGGTCAAATCCACCTCATGACCGGTTTGTAGAAGTAAAATTTTATTGGAATACAGTCACATCATTTACTTATGCAGTGTCAATGGCTCTGTTCAGGCTAACACAGAGAATAGCATGCCCACAAAACATTAAAGCTGTACTACTTACAGCTCCTTACAAAAAAAAAAAAAAAAAAAATTGCCAGTCCCCATTTTAGTATAATACTACAACTGAGACCTAGGTACTTTGTCTGTGCTATATATTTTATATGTATGATCTAAAATCTTGTCCGCAACCATCTGAACTAAATATTATCTCTAATTTACAAAAGAAACAAAGTCAAGCTCTAGACTATCAAAGTGCCTTGGATCTATTGAACATGCAGATTTCTAAGCCTATCATGGAAGCTCTTGATCAGATGGTCTTGGGAATCTGTTAAACCCATAGACTTCTAGGTCTATCTATAGAAGTTCTTGATTAGTTGGTCTGAGATAGTGCTCAGAAACCTGCATTTTGCCAAGCACCAAGGTGCTTGGCCAAACATCAGTTATAAAGAGAGAAGATGATTGTTCTAACACCACTTACTTCTGTAAATGACTGAAGTGTGCTTGGTTCCAAAATCTATACTCTAAATTCTCTTGGTTTAACTAAGCTTTAATCTGTTTTTAAGAGTCAGAGATATTCTAGTTAAAATATACAAAATCTAAATTATGTTTTTAAAATATATGCAGAGACTTCAAGATGATCCTGAATAAATTTCTGAAGTTTCACTTCTGAGAAATTAAGTGTGAAACATACTATAGAAAAATACTGAGCTGTCACTGGCTTTCATCCATTATTTTCATCTGTATGAATCTCCTAGGGTGGGGACAAAACAGTGAGGTCTTGAGCTTAACATAACACGAACTACTTAAGAAGATACAACAAACCAAACATGTTCGTGAATTTAATGAATAGCCTGATCAATTATTCCATGTGCCAATTATCTCCATCTCAAAAGACTCAACTTCACTTTTATATGCTATAACAAGTTAACTAGTTGCAGTTCATATCTGTAATTTTAATTATCCTTTTGAACCCATACAATCCAACTATTCCAAATGTGAAAATTTTTGTTCATTAAATTTACTAAACTTACAAAGCATGAAGCATGTTATCTTCTACTTATAATCACAGACTCAAACAAGTCATAGGGTTTCATTACCTATGAGCTCCTAACTTGAAACTTAATATCATAGAGTAGAATAAGCTTCTAAACAAACGTTTTTGAGGTTTAGATTTTATCTCAACATTCTAACTATATTTTCCCACTGATCATGTATCAACTAACCACTAATCATAGGAATTGGTTATTTTCCAAAGGAGTGTTCAAAGGTCCTAACAGGCCTGCCTAATAAACATGACAAAAGTACTGACTCTTGACAGGGGAAACACAACTATTACATAACTAGCACTCAAATACAACCATGAAGACAAGCAGAAAAAAATGGTACAAAACGGACTTCTATAGAAAGATGGTGGATTCTAAAAAGATGTATCAAAACAGTTACATTTGTGAAGCTATACATTTTATTCTTCTGGGTAGGCAAGAAAAATCAAGTCACAAAAGTGTAATTCAGGTAACTCCTGGGGGGATAAACGAAACACACAAAAACAAAAACAAAAAAAAAAGACCCTTGATCCCTGAAAAATACAGGAACTTTTCACATAACTGGTCAATAGTTTAAGCAACTATTTAAATAAAAACAAAATACCTATGACAAAGTAATCTGATTTTTTTGGTCCCTTATTTTTTTTTTAGTTTTATAAACAAGTTTGTTATATGAAATGATATGCAAAAGAAATTTATAAAAATAAAAAGATGGAAGGCTAAAATTATATTCCAAAGGAAATAACATTCTCTTTGACTGACTTGCAGTTAAAAATAAAGCTGAGTGTCCACTTCAAATGTAAGATGAAGACCCTCACTTGAAATTCCATTCTATAAAATGTGTAATTAGGTCTTGTACTGAATTTAAAAGCTAATGCATTGCTTTACTGCATACTAAGGCTCTTGTCTCACCGATGGCATTGAGATTTGGTTACCACCATATAATTGACTGCATGCATTCTGTGAAAATTATAAATAGACAGTAATTTATTAAAGGACACTGTCAAGTACTTAATGCTTTAGGGTATACCTGAAGGTTAAAATAATCTCTAATCCACATTAAAATATCAAATATAAAAAATACTTAAATATTTTTAAAAATATATGCTTAAGTCTACCATCCTTGACAGTGTTCCTTTAGTTGGTTTCCAAGTTAAAGTTAGCTATAAATATTAACAACTTTCATATTAGAACAGTCCCAACTTATAATAAGAAGGGCCTTAATACAATTATGACTATGTTAAAGAGAATTCTTTAGCTTTTCTGTATCTACAACAGCACACTGTTAATTTAAAATATGGTCTTCCAACTTTAATGACCACCTTCAAAAACCAGTTTTCTATGAAAAGCAACAGTTTCATAGTTTCAAACATAGTTTTAAAATAACACTAATCCCTCAACTAAATTTATATTTTTAAATTTTAATGTAGTATTTATGGTTTAGCAACCAAAGCTCAAACCACTTATCCCAATGGTAGAATACAACCAAGTGTTTCTTAACTATGAAAACAGAATTTAAATGCACCAAGATATGAACATTCACAGAAAAAATAGTACATCAAAAGTCTCAATTTCTACCTCAAAATATTTTAACACTATTTACTAAAGTCCTTGATTATTACTTTGGTAGATAAAATTTGAACAACAACAAATAATATTTCCTCCATCTCTGGCTCTCTCCCTAGCATCAAAATATCTACCAAACAAGTAATGGAAAACTGGAGACACATGTTTCTATGCTGTTATTGTTCCCAATACTGTGAGAAAATTTATGTAAGCACAGAAATAAAGCAGTGCAATGTCAATTTATTTTCCATAACCCCCATTACAAGAAGGTACACTTTCAAATCATGAAACACCAAGTATGTTTTAGAGTTATAAACAAAATCATTTCATCATTTTACACTTAAAAACCCAACACAAACTGTTTCTAACAAACCATTATTTTAAAGCATACTTTACATAAATATATAGAATACACTCCTAATTTATCGGTTAACATGACTTTATAACCTAAAAAGAAAATCTTTTTAACAGTTTTGTGCATGTTTTCAATTGTTGCATTTGAAGTCAATTTCTATTTATTGATACAAAGGCCAAAGGGTCATTAAGAATATAGAAGAAATCAACTTTACTTACTGCTAAGGTCAAACACCTACCTTGTTTCTCATTGTAGATGATATTCTTACACAATAGGTCATTATGGCAAAGCACGACAGGTGAACCCAGGTTGGAAAGAATCTCCTTCATCCAAGTCATCTCTTCTTGAAGGATCTGAGAGCTTGGGATATCACTTAGGAACCTTTCAATTTTAAAAGAAGTTATACCTTGTTTATCTTAATGACATTTCTTCAAGTCTGATTTAAGGATTAAAATACATTTTAAATAAATTCTTTCCATTTAAATGCACTACTCCTGAATTTAACAATGGGGCAATATATCCCAAAAATTGAAATAAAGAATGTTTTTATAATGAATAAAGTAAAACTAAGCAACAGTTTAAATGCAGGGTAAAAAAGTAAAAAACTCCAACACTAAAAAAAGGGGCAGGTAATATATATACACATATATACTGTCTGTGTGTATATATATATACACATATATATATATATATATATACACACAGACAATAGTTAACATTTATTAAATACAATTCTAAAGGCTTTGATCTCATTTTATATAGATAAGAAAACTAAGGCACAAAGAATTTAATAAAAGGAGCTTTAAGTACACTATTTAAAGTTAAAAAGGCTATTAAAAAACCAAAAATATCTATTTCAAGCTTGGAAGGGTAAGTACACTCCCCGCCATATCTGGGAGGACAGGCATCACCCAGTTTCCTCGCCTCCCTGTCCCTTTGAGATGGGATCTCCCAAACTTTTTTGGCCTGGAACCCTGCTTCTTCTGATCACACTTCTCAAATAGCTAGGATTACAGGTTTATAAGCCACTACCACCCAGTATAACCTGATGTTTTTCACACTCTGTCTCTGCTTTAAACAAAAAGAAATTTTAAAAAATGTATCTATGGCCAAGTCATATATCCAACAATGTATCTAGTCATATTACAATTATTTCTAAATAAATGTTCTCTATTAGTTTCTTGCTTCCTCCCCCTCTTATTGCAGGGGGTGTTCCTGGGAGAAGGAGAATAGAGGAACAGAGAAGCTTTTTACTTCTAGTGCCATCTGAAAGCCAAAGAATCAATGGCTTTTTTTTTTTAAACTTCAATACAAAGAGAATCAAAACCTAGATTTTATTATGTCACCTGAGTCACTATTATAGAACAAAGCAATGCAAAAAAATTTCAAATGTGAAAGTAAGTTTACCTTTTATTAAGGTCTTCATCTGCAAATCCTGTAGGAATGAGAGAGAAATATTTTCCCATCTTTAGCCATAGATTAGATTTGGGGATCCAGCCGTTGTGTGCGTGGATAGCGTGGATTTTAGCAAGCTGACGGGCTATTAGCCTGTTTAAAACAAACAGCATAAAAAAAGAAAAAAATTAGCATCATAAGGTTCATGCATATAGTCAAAGATTCTTCACTTGATCCAACTTTTTGTCATGCTTCTCTTCTCCACTGTCTCCCAGGCAATTCTGTGCATTTCCTTATAAAATCCAGTTTTAGACCTTGCTAAGTCAGTTTAGCAGAAACACTTCACCCTCAATATCTGATGAGGTTTCTTATACTCTACCATCCCCTGATACCTGGTGGCCTGTCTTCAGAAAGAATCGTGTTTGCTTGGTTTAGCCAGAATCACCGTTACTCCTCATGTTACCTCTTAGGAACTGTTGATCTATCAACCTCCCATCCTGCTCCTGGGGTAAAAATCCCCATTTGCCCACCTGGTATTTAGAGTTGAGCCCAGTCTCTTTTCCCCCACTGCCATGGTTCCTATACATATCATGGTGGTCCTAAAAAGTCGGCCTTACCTTGCTTTCACAATTATTACTTAATTTTTCAAGTTATAGTGCCTCAGAAACTCAGATTTATAACTGAACCCATCTGCCAGGACCCTACTTGTGTATCTTTGATGCATTCACCTTCACTTCTGACCAAATGACAGATGACCCTTTGGTGAGTCAGACTCCTGAACCAATGCTCTGGACAAACATCCGCTGAAGCTGGTGAGGACAGGTACTGATTCTGAAGGTTCTGAGTGAATGCCCTGAATGTCTGTTAGATGCCAGGCTTCTCCTGAGAGGTTATCTCTTGAGCTAGAAGTCTCTTTTCCTTCATCTCTTTTCCAACCTGGGGATTATTCCCTGAACCCCCTAGGCTACATGTTCTTTCTGGCTCTCTGTTCTCTCATGGAACTTCTCAGTCATCTGATACCTTTTGAGCCCTTGCTGACTATATGCTTCAACAAGTCTGCCTGCCTTCCTTCTCACTGGCACAGTATTACTGACAAACTTCAAAACAAAATCACTGACTCTATAGTCTCAACAGAAATTCTGATTTAATAGGTTTGGGGTACAGCCAGGGCATATGGATATTTAAAAGCTTCCCATAATATACAAAACCATTTGAAAACTACTCAACTAAGGTACTATACTGACTCAGCATTAGAGTAACCCTTCACCAGTCTGTGATTCAGTAAAACAGATGAACTAAATATTTATAGCATTGTGAACATTCTTATTCTAATCTACCTATCTTCTAGTAACAATAGTCACGAATCTTTTGGTTGTGTTTATGTGGCTCCTACAAAACTGATCTCAATCCTATCTATACTCCTGTTAGGAATAAACACTAGACCCAGACTTGCCCAGAGCACTCCGCTTCTCAGTTCACCTTGACTAGTTCAGGGCATATAACTCAAGCTCTGCCAAAAAGACTTACCTAATCCTACACACATTGTTGTTATTAACTCTGATTGAAGCTATTAGAAAAAGAGAGTCATTTTACCCGTGGAGTGACTAAACTGGCTAGATAAGCTGCAGATAATCAGAGTGGCCACTCTTCAGGCAAGTTTGTCAGAAAATAAAGCTAACACAGAAGAAAACAATATTCCTAATGACACTGTTAAAGCCCCTGGACCCAGCCGTTACTTCTCCTTGAATTCAGCATTCTGTCATATATACCAATAAACTGCTTCTCCTTTAAGTCCTTGAAAGGACTTAAATTGGTAATACTACTGGCTTCATCCTCAATCTAAGACATTACTCTTTTTATGAACATGTACTTTGAGTAACACCTCTCAAACAACTATTTATGTATATATACATTAAACAAGTACTGCCTGACCCTCCCCAAGACCACATATTCATGTCTACAAAAACACAGAAATTTATTTTGATGCTAGTTTCTCATATATATGTAGCTACGCCCACATCAGCTAACTTTATAGAAAGTCAGATGGTGATAAAGTCAAACAAACAAAAGGCAGCACAACTACACACACACACACACACACACGTTTTAAGCTAGTAACAATTAGTTTTAAAACTTGAAGGAGAGGGAAATAGGAGGCCTGAAGAAAAGCACAATCTGTGTTACATAAAAATCAAGGAACAATCTTGATGCCAACAAAATATCCCAGAAATGTTTACTGAACAAATGAGAAAGGGGATTCAGAAGGGTCACAGATGAGAAGATATTAATGTATAACAAATTTTACTTGCTCAGATTTTTTAATGAGCAATTCTGTCATTTTTTAATAGTTTAACCCAGAGTATGTAGAAGCGCCTCATTTCTAAAATATCTTAGAAGGAGGCCCATTATTTAGCTAATCCAATCTTATGGCAAATACTTCACAAACAGTATGGCCACAACTCAAAAGGGTACTTCCAGGTTAATGGAATCTGGGCATTGAATGAATAGCTGCTAAAAGAGAAAATATCAACTCATTTTCAGTGCCTTGCTAAAGCTGTCCAACTGGGGCTGAGACAGGAACTGAACGGATAACCCCATGCAAAAGCCATGCCCTTTCCACTATAAAATATCTCCAAAATACTGCACAAACCTAGCTGAGGTTTCATTCTGATTCTGCCATTGTGTTTGCAGTCTGAACTTCAGCAAGTCATTTGTTTTCTCTGGTTTTCGGATTTCTTACAAGGACAATGAACTAACTGTCATAGAACAAAGTTTTGAAGCTCTCCTTCAGAGCTATTAACATGTGTCCTGAATACCAGGGGAAAAAACTTAACATCTACATAGAACTTAATCTATTTGAGCTTTAATGTTCAATAATGACAATGTAAATGTAAACCATACATTATGACTAATATACAAAGATCCTGGAGACTAACTTCACTTTCCACATCAATTTCCTAGAAGTTCCAGTAGAAGGATTAAGAGAACATACACTATGGAATGACAGAGGCAAAATTTTCTAAGTGAGTGATTTTTATCAAAAACAATTCCTCCTCTGAACAAATTCCTAAAATTATTGAAGGAATTCTGGGTTTGCTTTTATGTAAAATCTTAAAGACATTTTCTGCATAAGGTACAGTATGCCTACTCTAATGGAAACTAGACTATTTATTATCAGTCATCATACTATACCACAGCTAATATTTGCAGAAGTATCAAAACTTAAGATCTAACATCCAATACCTTTTTTAATTATGAATTTGCCTTCTCTATAAGTGCATTACTAAAATTAGATTATATAAATGGTAAATATTAAAAAGCATATTGACATAAGTAAAAATATATTCATGGTGATATTCAAAAATCTATACAGCATTTTCCTATATAATTCAAAAGAGCAGCCATAATAGGAGCAATAGAGATTGCTTTATCTAGATGACTGGTAAGTGTTACAGCTGAGATTTCCTTCCAGGGGCCTACATCTACTCTTCTGTTTAGTATGCTAGGAGGTGCTTACCAGTCACCTGAGAATTGGAAGCAATTATCTTGGCGACCAATGCAGAGTATACGGACAAGTCTGCTGTAAGACAGAGATTCTTCCACTATATTATATTTGTTTTATCAGGTGGACTACAATCTGTTTTGAATTTTTAAAAATCTCATGTAATAAGAATCTCCTTGCATCTGTATATGAAAACACGTTTTCTGATACAAAAGAAAAAAAAAGATCATCTGTTTGAAATATACCATTATCTGTTGTTGTTGTTTTAATAAGAAAACCACATCTATTTAAGTCTCTTCTCAAAGTCTACAATTCAAGCCAATTTCTTTTGCCCTTTTATACAACAAAATTAGCAAAGAAAATGCCTTAGTCCTTTTTGGCTGCTAAACAAAAATAAGATAAACTGGACAGCTTGTAAATGACAGAAGTTTCTTTCTTATGAATCTAGAGGTTGGAAAGTCTGAGATCAAGGCACTAGCAGGTCACATGTCTGGTAAGTGCTATTCCTCAGAGATAGCAACTTACTGCTGCACCATTATATGGTGGAAGACATGAACAAGCTTCCTTAGGCCTCTTTTTATAAAGGACTAATGCCATTCATGAGGGCTTCTCCCCATGACTAGACCCCCAAAAAGCCCGTCTACCTTGTAAATAAGGTTTCAAAACACTTCTGAGAGGACATAAAACATTGAGACCAGAAAGGAGCAGTATTTATTTGCAATAAATCTGTTTATGAAAATAACAATGTAGGGGCTGGGTATGTAGCTCGGTGGTACATTTGTCTAGCATGCAAAAGGTCCTGGGTTTAATTCTCAGTACCATTAAAACAAAATATATATATTTTTACATATAAGCATGTATATAAATATGTGCATATATATATATTCAATTATGATTACAATAAAATCCAGCTGTGGTAAGAGATTTCAGAAATTAAATATCCAAATTCTAAGCTCCATATTCATCTAAAATATTTGATAAGTTGAGGTTCAACAAAACATGCAGTTTGTTAGGGAAGCCTTATTAAGGAAACAGCTTTTCTAATAAACAAATCCAGTAGTTATAAAATACAAAGTTAACATGCAAAAATTTGCTCACTAACAGTGAACCACCTGAAAAAGAAATTCCATTTACAGTAGAATGAAAAAGAATGAAATATTCAGGAATAAACTTAATGGTGAAAGTGAAAGACACAGACCCTAAAAACAACAAAATACTGCTTGTAAAAAGTACATAAATAAATAAATGAAAAGACAACCTAGGTTTATGGGTTATTATTGTTAGGATGCAGGTCAACCCAAGGTGATATACAGATCCAGTGTAATCTCTATCAAACTCCCAAAGATGACCCTTGCAGAAACAGAAAAAAAAAAAAAAAAATCTATCCTAAAATTAATGCAAAAATCTCAAGGGACCCTGAAGAGCTAAAATCACCTTGAGAAGAACAGTAATGTTAAAAGTCTTAAACTCCTACTTTCAACAGTTATTACAAAGCTATAGTAACCAAAACAGTGTGGTACTGGCACAAAGACATAATACAAACAAATGGAAGAGAATAATGAACCCAGAAATAGATGCACATCTATGCAGTAAAATAATATTCAACAAGGGAGCCAAATCCATTCAGTGGAGGGAAGGACAACAAATGGTGCTGGGAAACTAAGCACCTACATGCAAAAACAGGAAGATGGATACTTCCCTTGCACCATATAAAAATATTAACTCAAAATGGACAAAACATCTAATGTAAGAGCTAGAACTGTGGGTGGTGGCCCCATGCTCTAATCCCAGCACTCCTTAGACAGAGGCAGGATAATGGCAAGTTTGAGGCAGCTTGGCTACTCTGTGAGAACCTGTTTCAAAACAAAAAGTAGAAAGCTGTAAAATGTAACAGCTAAAACTATAAAAACACTTAGAAAGCACAGGGAAAAGTTTCATGACATTGAATACTTGGCAGTGATGTCTTGGATATGATACCAAAAGCACAAGCAACAAAAGTAAAAAATAAACCGGACTACATCAAAACTAAAAATGGGTATCAAAGGACACAATCTGCAGACTGAAAAAGCAACCCACAAAAATAAAAAGAACATCTGCAAATCACATCCAACTGACTGGTCTTTCAAGAGTTCAATGATATGGCATTCAATCTTTAAAATGGTGCAGAAGTGATAGGAGTTCAGCATAAACTCAGGAGAGCAATATGCAGTACAATATTCTCCTGGGTGTCAGCAGTAAGCCACAGCTCCAAGTTGGGCCACACAATTACAAAGGTAAACAACACACACCCTGGAGCACATTGGGCTGCTAAGCTATTTAGGTAGGGTAGGTGTACTAAATACATTTTTAACAAATGATATTTTCAAGCTTAATGTTGAGCTTATCAAGCTATAATCCCATCACAAGTCTAGAAGAATCTGTATTTGATAAGGGACTAGTATTCAAAATCTACAAAAACTCCTACATTCACCAGAAGAACAATCCAAGTGGACCTAGACTGGAATAGGCATTTCTCCAGGGAGACAAACACAGGGCTCAGATACATATGAATACATGCTCAATATTACTAATCACTGTGAGCGGAATGCAAGCCCAAAGAATACCTTGGTATCACCTCATGCCCACTAGGGTGGTTACTATTAAAGAAGGGAAAAAAAAAAAAAGGCCAGAAAACAGTTGTTGACAAGACTGTGGAGAAAATGGAACCCTTATGCACCTTTAGTGAGAATATAAAATGGTGTGGCTACAGTGAGTAACAGTAAGGTGGCACTTCAAAAAAATTATCATATGATCCAGTATTTAATATAAAAAGTAGGCCTCAAAGAGGTATCTGTACACCCATGTTCATAGAACATTACTCACAATAGCTAAAAAAACAGAAACAACCTAAGTGTCATCCACAAATGAATGAAGAAAATGTAGTATATAAATAGAAAGGAGTATTATTAAGTTTTAAAAAGGAAGGAAATTGAGCTGGGCAAGGTGGTGCATGCACTGTAATCCCAGCATTCGGGAGGCTAAAGGATCACAAGTTCTAGGCCAGCTGGGTCTACATAGGGGAAAAAAAAAAAAAGGAAGGAACAAGGAAATTCTGGGCTGAGTGTATAGCTCAATGGTGCATTTGAGCATGCACAAGGTCCAGATTTGATCCCCAGAACAAAAAAAAAGAAAGATTAAAAGAAAAACAGGGGGAGGAATTCTGACATATGCTACTACATGGGTAAAACCCTAAGGACATCATGCTAAGTGAAATAAGACAGCCACAGAAATACAAACACTGCATGATTCCACTTACATGAGGTACCTAGGAAGTAGATGATGACTGCCAGGTCTAGAGAAAAGGGGGATAGGAGTTAATGGGTATACATTCGCAGTTTCTGCAAAATGAGATTTCTGAAAATTAATAACAGAATGTCAATATATTTAACAGTCCTCAGCTGTATACTTTTAAAAAAATGGTTACAATGGTAAATTTTATATTTTGTGTATTTACCATGATTAGAATTAAAGATTAAATAAAATGCTTATAAAAAGATAGTCCTCAAAAAACCTGAATAGCATACTTTAATTACTTGCTATTATATTTCTTATTTAAGATATTTTTAAATGTCCTTATCTTTTCTTTTATATTTTATTAATATAAATAAATCCAGCAATGTATGAGAATTATAAAATACCAAAACAAGTGGAACTATCCCAGAGATGCAAGACTGGTTCAGCATTTGAAAATCAATTATTATCTATCACAACAACAAGCTAAAAAAGAAAAAAGCCAGGTGTGCTGGTTCATGCATGTAATCTCAGCATTGGGGAGGCACTGATCTGGAAGACTGTACCTCAAGGCTTACAAGGTAAAAAGTGAGCCACACTTCACCTCAACCAACAAACCAGGCATGGTGATGGGGGCCTATAATTCCAGCTATGTAGAAGATAGGTATAGGTAGGAGGATTTCAGTCCAAGGCTGGCCCTGGGCAAAAAGAACTCAAGAGACCCTATCCAAAAAATAACAAAAGCAACAATGGCCTGCCTCAAATGGTAGAGCACCTGCCTAGCAAAAAAAAATGACAATCACATAAAATTATCAACAAATACATGAAAAGCATTTAACAAAATCTACACTCATTAATAAAACCTTCAGTAACTAGGAGAAGAAGGGGAATTTCCAACTTGACAAGTACTACTACTACTAAAACTGCTGAAGGAAGTGGTTATAGCAGGGAAGCAGGGATATACGAGTCACACACAAAACTCAATCACTTTCTGGCTGAGGATGTGACTCTGCAGTATGGTGCTTGCCTAGGATGTGCAAAGCACTGGATTCCATCCCCAGTGCAAAAGTCAATCGTCTTCCTAGATGGCAGCAATGAATAAGGGGGATTTGAAACTACAATGGAGTATCTTTTACAGTAGCATCCCAATAAAACTCAGTATAAGTCCAACAAAATAAATGCAAGATTCTCAGTAGTATATAAAGCTATGACAAAGAAAATCCAATAACTAAATTAATGAAGAGATACTCCATGGGTAAGATGAAATTGTCAAGAAGGGGATATGCAGAGTCAAGGCAAATGAACAAAACTCCCAGAAAGTTACTTTGTAGTATCATCAAACTGATACTAAATTATGGAGAGACACAAGGCCCAGAACAGCCAAGGCAACATCAAAGATAAAGTTGAAGACACACACTACAGCATTCAAGATGCAGTATAGAAGATACTGTGATACTTGCAAAAGGATAAGCAGATGAAGAGTCCTGAAACAGACCACACAAATAGTCAACTGATCTTTGACCAAGTAGCAAAGGTGACACATTTGAAGAAAAGATAAGTGTTTGACAAGCAGTGATGAACAACTAGACATTCACATGCAAAAAGTTAGCAATACCCTATCTCAAAAACCAAGCTAGGCATGTGGTACATATCTGTAATTCCAGATGCATAGGAGGCATAGGTAGGAGGATCTTGATCCAAAAAGCTGGCCCTTGGCAAAAACAAGAAACTCTATTGGAAAAATAACTTTAAAAGGGGGCTGAGGGTGTGGCTCAAGTGGCAGCACTAAAAACAAAACAACAAAATTTAAGCTGTACAACAACCCTAGAAGTAGGTCCTATTATTATGTGTATTTTTATTTTAGATGAGGAAATTGAGGCAGCAAGAATTAAACTCTTGAAGCTTAGGTATCTGGCTTATAGTGTGGCCTTAAGGAAAGAGGACACAACCTAAAGCAGAATTTCCACACAAGGACCTCATTCCACAACTTCCCACTGCCTGATGATCAGCAAGAGAGAAAGGTGATTCCACGGGTCCAGCTTCCATTATGAAACCACAGAATGAAAGCAAGCAAACAGCTCCTGAATCTCAACTTCTGCCTGCCAGTGGTACCCACTGCCACCAGGTCAGTTCAAAGTTTAAACATGACTTATTAAAGACAACTGAAGAGCATCAATGTATAATTTTTCAAAGTGTGGAGTTTACAAAGGCAGTTAAGAGCAGACTAGTAAAAATGGTATCAGCATCAGACAATATTGTTCTTACATGTTTTACATGTTCTCATTCTTCTTAGTGTGTCTAGGCAAGAGCCCTATTATTGACAATAACAAAACCTATGTAATACATACAAAATTATCACTTTGTAGGGACAGAATGTTTCTCGTGTTGGGAACAGTACAGGGAATACCAACTTACAACTGACACATTACTCCACCTCCATGACAGGCCTGTTTCTCAACATAAACCTTCTCTTCGCTGAGAAAAAAGATGAAGAAAGTATATCTGATCTTGTTCAGAAAGTACCCAGGGCTCCTTCTGGGAAGGTGTCAAAACTTAAAAGACCTCACCAGCTAGTACTCAGGCTGCTTCCTGTCACAGTGTTTGTCAAACAGCAGCTGCACCACAGCCTCCCTGGCCTGGATCTTGGTGGTGCTGTGCCCACACAACTATCTCATGTGGGCCTGGGGCTGTGTAGTACAAGCCATGGTTCACACTGCCATCCAGGAACTTCATGTCCAGCTACTGCTAAGTTTTCTCTGGGCTTCTTAGTCTCTGCAAAATACTGGCAGAGCTCCTCAGTGACTTCTATATTGCTCAAATTGAGTTCTACCTCTCCATGTAACCAGTTTCCATCTCCTCTTTTTTAGACAAAGGTTAGTCTTCTTTGTGAATCCCTGGATCCCACTGCTGTTATGTGGATTGTGAACAGATCTTCTATAAAGAGTAACCTCAACAGGATTCCTGGGAAGCCATGTGGAATTAAAGAACTGAAGCTACCTACCCTTGTCATAAGGGCTTCAGAGAAGAGCTGCAGGAGGGAAACACCAAGGGGGAACTGAAATAATCTGTGGCCGGCCATCCTTAGGAGTTCTGGTGGCTTTGCATCCCAGCCACTGCTGGATCACAAGGTTACCAATAAATCCCAAGACTTCAAGACTTACTAGCTTTTGAAACTGATGCCTTTGCTGCCATCCTAACTATGAAAGTGCAAATTGGCCCTGAAGCTCATGGATGTACATTTTGCAGATCTTAGGCAGTGAGTGAGCAGGGCTTATTCTTCAATGGAGACAGAGGGCGACTGGGGAATAGGGTTATGAAAACTTGTATTTTCTTCTCTGCTTTATTTGTAAGGAAGCTTATGTGGCCCTTCTCTAACAACCTTATAGAAATTTTTTTTTTAATCTGACGCTAACCCCAATTTATCCTTTGCTCTAACTTATGCATATTTTCATTTTAATCCTACTATACAGGTTATGTCCCAACCATGGTGAAACAAGACTGAAGTTTTATGAATAAACAAATATGTACAAGACTAAAGATGACAAAAATATTTGCAACAAATGAGCAAACATAGGCAGACATAATGGAGCACAGTTATAATCTCAGCTACTTGGGAGATTGAGGCTGGAGAACTACAAATTCAAGGGCAGACTAGGTGATATAGCAAAACTCCAGTTCAGAAAAGAGAGTAAACACAAATTTCTTAATCAGAATACTTCCAACACATCTAAAGAGTGCAGTCACATAAAAGAAGAATCGTAAGCATGTGTGCGTGTGTGTGTGTGTGTGTGTGCATGTGTGTGTGTCTGTCTCATGGCTAAAATCTAAAGTCTAAGCAGATTTCTATGCCAAAATAGGCAAATGGCGCTGGCCCATTCCTTTCATCAGTTTTAACTCAGCAATCTTTCAAGTACAACCCAGGGATTCCTGTGGACCTGCAGCCCTTTCTGAAGGCTTGTAGATTAAACGACTCTTCTCAGATTACAGTGCAGTTTGAGAGGTCACATCATATACAATAATGTCATCATACTGATAGCTAATGGGATGTCCACTTGAGATTCCTGTACTCTAAAAAGATGTTTTAACTTCTAATATTGTACATGTTAATAAATACAAATCAGATAAGAAAAGCTCTTTGGAGACTCAACAACCTTTCAGAGTTTCTGGTGTTGAAAACAAAATGTTTATGACTGCAAACCTGCTGTTTTCAAATCAATCTCATTTTCTAGAGTTTTTAAGACCAGAAAGTGAATTTTAAAGTTGCCAATTTTAGAATAACCATCAAGTATAGGTACAATATCATTCTTTAAAGAAAATATAATGAAATGAACTTAAGGAGTAACAAAAAAGTGCTCAAAGTTTATAAAATTTTACTAAAAACTGTGAAAATATGAGCAATTATGTAATAACTGGCAATACGCTCAAATACTCCTTAAAAACATTCCTTAAAATTCAAACACTCCTTTAAAAAAATTATCCCTGTAGCAATTAATCCAAAACCACCTGCAGTCCTTTCTTCTGAAGAGTCAACAGTCAACAATGAGAGTAGCAACTATAAAGGAATTTCTTTCTTTTTCTTTAGGAACAAATCAAAAACTCTGAAGTTTCTGATTCAACCAATTAGTTTCTCCAACAAAGAAAACAGTCATAAAAAAAATTTAATATTCTTTTAGCAAAAGAAATGTACCTGAAAATGGCCGGGTTGCAGACATGCTGGGGGTCCAGTGCTTCTCCCTGTATAAATTCATAGCACAATCCATTGTTGAAGGTGCAGTAAAGCTGTGGTGCACAGCCATGAGCCTGCAGCACTCGAAAACTCTTTACTTCTTCATCTCGATCCACTAACAACTCGGTCTTATTGCCGTAAATCCGCACCAGGACTACATCTTCCATGGTATCACCCACATAACAAGCAATGAGTTTATTTGTGATCCCATCTGTGAAGAGCTGCCAGGAAAAGAAAACATGGAGGAAAAACAATCACATATTTTTAATGAATGGAACAGAAGATAACATGAAGATATGAGTAAAATGCCAATTAAAAGTAAGCACCAGTGCTGAGGGCATGGCTCAAGTGGTGAGTACCTGCCTAGCGAAGAAAATACCAGAGGCTGGGGGTAGGGTGGGGGGCGTAGTTCAGTGGTAGAGCACATGCTTAGCATGTACAAGGCCCTGGATTCAATAATCAGCACTCAGGAAAAAAAGAAAAAGAAAACACCTGCTTCTTAACATAAAAGAACCTCTGGAGTATTTGAGATGTCACACAGTGGTAGACTACATCCCTAAATGTTCCCTGGGTGTGACATTCTGTCCTTAATTCCTTCAGTATCAAGCATTCTTTGATCCAACAACGTTACTTATTCACGGTCTCCAATATTCTATACAACTTTTCTGATACCTGCTTTATCTCACTGTGCCTTATGCTGCGATCATCGTGTGTGTGTGTGTGTGTGTGTGTGTGTGTGTGTGTGTGTGTGTGTGTGTTTCCATTACCAATTACTGTCAGAAAGATCAGGAGCTATTTAACATTCTGAAATGTGTATAATGAAGACTGCCAAGGCTTCTCAAATTCCAGAAATCATCATCTATGTTGTCTTCACAGCAAAGAGTAGGTACTTAAAAGTTAAACACCATATAGCTATCAACAGTTTTCATCTAGCTTATACATTCTCATTCTTTCCTATAATATACTTTCCTTGATTAAACACATTATACTGTATATACAAAACCACACATATAAGTATGCACTTAATGGGCTAGAGACAGATTTCTTTACAATGAAATGACCATGTCTAGGATAAAAAAGGAAATATATGAATAACTGCGTATTATAACAAGTTATATAACAGTCAGATTAAAAATGTCTACAAAGATAATCAAAATATTAAGTAGATTAAACATTCTCATTTTCTTATTCCTAAGTAGCTGTAGTTTAATATGCTTCTTCTGGCTTATGTATTTTTCCTCACTAGCTTTTTTCTGCAATGAACCTAGTTCATTTCTAAAAAAAATTGTAAGAAAGAAAAACAGTCCACCACTGGCACTAATCTGGTATTCTGACTGAACATAAATAATTTCACAGAATACCAACATCAGATGAGGCCACTCAATGACCATAATCAAGAAAAAAGTAATGGAAACACTCTGTGATCATGTCTAAATGTACACAATAAAATCAATTTCGTCCAAATCACAAATTTTACCAAACACAACCAGGCAGAGTGGCACATGCCTGTAATCCCAGGACCCTCCTAGTCTAGCTAATCTAAATGACTGAAGCTTCATTTCTAGTCATAGCTTTGCTTGCTTCATCTCACCCACCCCCAAATGTCTAATAACATTTAGATACAGATACCCACAAGTCATAGACTTGACCCTACTTTTCTTGATAGAACCTAATTCAGAGGAAAGCCTTGCAACCATGAATTCTCCCTTAAACTGCCAGACAAACCCAAACCCAAACCCTAAATAAAGTTTTTCTACCACCAACTTACTGAACTGCCCCAGTTCTCCACAGTGTAGTTCTAACTACTGTGAATAATGAACCCAACTTGTGCAGTTACAGTGTGCTTCTACTGCTTTGGCTGAAGAACTATGACTTTAAAGATATGTGGATAATGCTTCCTGTCCTTGCATGGTTCCTACTCACATATAAAACACATGTTAATCAATATGCCAAACCATCCTCCCAAAATACACTTTTTTTTTTTTTTTGAAGAGTTGAGGATCACCTCTAGGGTCTCAGACATGCTATGCAAGTACTTTACAAAGCAAGCAACATCATTCCCAGCTCCATAATATACGATTAAAATACAACGGACATACACTAGATCTATACCAGAAATAGAAAATTCTAACTCACTGAAACAAAATAAAACTCTGTAAATCCTATAGAGCTCCTTTTAACACACTACTTTGTTTGAGGACTCAAGCCCTAATATACCTAAAAAGCCCTCAGAACAGTGCTTGGAACACAGAAAGCAATTAATGTAATTATATATAGCTAACTATGCATATGAATTTTAATTAAAAACAGTAAAATAATTCATCTTGAGATCATAAGAGAGTGAATAATAAAGACAAAAGCCATGCTAAAACAACGTAAGGGCTGGAGGCATGGCACAAATGGTAGACTGCTTAGGCTAGCAAGCATGAAGCCGAGTTCAAACCCCAGTACCGCCAAAAAAAAGAAAATGCAGAAACAGTATTTCCAACATATTTATTAAAAGTAGCTTAAGTCTACAGTTACAAACGCTAAATATCACTACTTGTGGGAAAATTATGTTTCACACCTAGAAAAGTAAAAAGTCTACAATTCAGTTAGAAATGCCACTGAACATTATTTTAAGTTAACAACATTACACTATATTTGGTTTTGTATAACTAATTATATTCTGTTAAACACTGATTCCTAAAATTCAGATAACTGGTTAGTGAATTTGGTACTAATCACTTCTAATCTTTGAACACTAACAGCAATATTAATATTAATATTAATAGGTAAATTTAAAATGGATTCTAAATTTCTCTGCTTTACCTCATTACTTTTTTAAAAATATATATATATATTTGTTTAAAATAGGATTTAAACCTAGGTTTTAACAAACTCCAGTAACTCAATAGTCTATAAATTTTTTAACTGCATGATATTAATGATGGTATAACTTACTCTGAAAATTTCAATTAATATAGAAATAAGAATTTATCCTGCATTTTCTATGAATTATATTTCATAATATCCATACAGCTTAATTAATCAGACAAGGTTCTCTACCAAAGAATTCAAATTCACAAATGTGAAACAAACAACAGAACCAGAAAATAACTAGCAACAATAAATCAACTATTCAGGCAATGATCTCTAATGAATTAAACCAACAGATGAAAGAACTCAATACACAATTAAACATGTCATACCTCTTGATGTGATGCAATATGAAATACATTACACTACCCAGCTAGAACATGTGAGAAAGAATACATGCTGAAGAAGAAAGGCACAGTGTGAGAGGGAACTCTGCAAACAGCCTCATTGAATATCAGATGAGTACTGATGGGACAGGTATATGAGGAAACTACCTACAATAAGAAAGCTATCCAAGGCTGAATCCAAAAGGATTAGAAGAAACAGTGCCAAAATGCACGTGGGCATAAAATGGTCCCGGCCTCTACCAGCCACACCAGGAAAGCCCATCATTCAAGTGCATACAAGAACCTTCTTTCCATCAGAAATGAAAAATAATTAGCTCTAGATTAAATAATAAAAGCATGATCCAAATGATTCAAACTCTTCTAATAATATCAGCAAAAACTAAGTAGTAAGTAACAAAGTCAAAATTCAATGCCTGATACCCAATTAATGATCACAAAGTAGCCAGGTAGCCAGATGTGATGATGCACACCTGTAATCCCAGCACTCCAGAGGCTGAGGCAGAAAAACAGCATGGACTACATAGTGAGACCCTATCTCAAAAAGAAAAAAAAAAAATCAGTTATGCAAAAAAGGCAGAGTTATAAGCGTATGCTTAGCTTGCATAAGACTCTGGGTTCAATCCTCAGCATCACAAAAGAAAAGAGGGAGACACCATTAGTGAGCTGAGAGATGACTTCAATAGGATTTATATAGATATGACATGAGTATCAAGTCCCCAAAGGAGAGAAAAAAAGAACATGACAGTTAAAAGTCTTCAAAAAATTTGATAAGAAACTATAACCTCAAGAATCGAGTAAGAAGCTCAACAAGCCCTGAGGTCAGGTGTGGTGGCGCACACCTGTAACCCTAGTTATTGCAGAGGCCAGCTGAGGCAGAACGTTTGGGAGACCTCATCTCAACAAACAAGCTGGGTGTGGTGGTCCAAGGTAGGAGGACCAATCCCAAGTTGGCCCCCACAAAAGTGAGACCAAACCTGAAAAATAACTTTGCGTGGTGGCAATCAGGATGATAGTGAGGTGGAGGCCACCTTGGGCTATATATTAAGACCCTACCTCAAAAAAAAAAGTTAACAAAAGAGAGGCTTATGGGGTGCTAGTATGATGTCTCCTGGTTTGGATTCTTGATAAGTAGGGTCACTGTATGAAAATTAATCAGCTTCCACACTTATTTGAGAATTTTGATTACATGTGTCACATCAACAAATTTACTCTTCAAAAATGTAATGCAGTATTTGTATCACAAACAATGCACTTAAATCTTTTACTTTTCATTACTTAAATCCCTTCATTACTTTCCACTCAGAGTAATACCAAAGAAAATTACCTACAGCTACAAAGTCTTTAAAATGGAAAAGAAAAACCCAACTACTATGGGATGTTGGCTTCAATATCTTACGAATGTGAGGAGGGAAAATACACATGTGCATACAAACACACATACACATATTCAGGAAACTAGTGAAACAAACCATGCAGCCTCATATAAAGGAGTAGCCTCATTTGTAGATGGAGATAATGATTTTATACATCATTTTGAAGACTGTGATTTTATAAATCAAAGGTTTTGGGGAGCAAACCCAAGGCCTCACACATGCTAGGCAAGTGCTCTACATCACCAGCCTCCTGGTGTCATCTTGAAAATAAATAAGGCATATGTTTTAACATAATCAAATGTTTGCAGCTATCAAAAAGTACAGTCAACACCATACAAACATGGGAAAATGTTACAAAAGACTAGAGAAAAGGAATACAAATTTGTGCAAAGGATTACAACTATGTAAATATGTTTCAGAAAAGTAGAATGTAATATAAACAATTGAGAAAAGAATAAAATAGAAACAGAATATGGATGTAGAAGGGGAGGTATCATATCCAAAGTTTTACCACTGTAAAACTATTTTGTGTTCATGTAATCTCTTATAAAACGTTCTTCACACACTTAGTACATTATTTTTTCACAAAACTTCTATTTTTTAATAAGAGAAGACAAAGAAAGGAGGGAGAAAAGGAGGGGA